TCTTCAGGTTGGTCTAGGCCTTGCAGGTGCTGGCATTCAGCAGGGAGGGTTTGGAGGGGGGAATGGCAAGAGTAGCTGAAGGTAGCCTAGCTGTGTCACTCCTAGATGCCCTGTTTCTCTGATGACCTTAGGACTGGGAAGGGGGATGTCGGCTAGGGGAGAGGGGTCTTGTTTTGCAGCTGCTGTCTCGGGCAGGAGTGCAGAATCCTCTCCTACCCTTGCGTCATCTCCTCCTGCAGGACTGACCTGTGCTGCACAGGGCTGCTGGAAAAGTACCTCTTGGTAAACAGGAGGGGGGATGTGGGGACGGGTAGGCGGCCACGCTGAATATAGCGAGGGCTTGGAGTGCTGTGGTGGGACAAGCAGCTGCTCTGGTAGCAGAAATAACTGTCCTGGTATTTGGACTTGTGTGTGTGTCTTGGTGTGAGCCGTCAGCTGTTAGCAGGTCACTGGGCGAGAGGGTAGAGCATGTTCCTCTGGATAAGCAGATCTGGGCACCGGGCTGGGCTTGGGGCTGTGCCAGAGCTGGCTCCCCGTGACCCCTGAGCTGTCTGTTCTTAGGGCTTGTCCTCTCTGGTGAGCTGCTGAATCACCAGAGCTCCTTTTAAAAGGCTGTGAGAGGTGGGGTGTTGCTGCAGGAGCAGCCCCCCTTTCCTGCAAGGGACTGGGCTGGCTGACCCACAGCCTTCTGACCCAAATGGCAGTGTTCTGTAGCAGGGTCTGGCTTGCGTTTGCAGTAGCTGTAGAGGGGCATGGTGAGGCTGGCGGTTCTGCTCAACAGGCTCCAGCTCAAAGGTTCTGCTCAACAGGCTCCAGCTCAAAGGTTCTGCTCAACAGGCTCCAGCTCAAATATCCTCACAGAAAAACTCGGCTGTAGTCCGTAATTCAGCAGCAGGCTCTCCAGGGACTGCTGGTTTTGCTTCCCCCATGCCTGTCAATCCCAAGGTGTGTGGGGCTGCTGTTCCTCCCTCGGGCTGGGTCACTGCTGAGCCCAGCAGAAAGTGTTGAGAAGTACATGGTGAGTGTGTATCTGGGGAATGACCCAGCAGCTTCACAGGAAGAGACTCTCCTCTCGCTTCTTCGGGCCTTTAAAATGCCCTGGAACTGCACCTCCTTTCTCCTGAGCTGCATTGGCTTCATTTTGGCCAGGGTCCTGCAGGACCTTCCACCAGGCTAGGCTGTGATGCTCGGCTGGTGTTTCCTGCCTCTGCTTCCCTGTGTGCTAATGCTGCTGTAAATCGTGTGTGAGCAGGGCTTGCTGCCCTCCTGACGTGCTCCTTTCTCTCCTTGCTTTTCAAGATCTGTCACCACATCCTGGTCCTGTGTCTGCGAGAGCTGTTTGAGTTCCGGTACATGCAGACTGACCCAAACTGGTCAAACTTCTTCTACGACCCGCAGTTGCACAAGGTAAGCCCAAGCAGCTGCTGTTCTGCCTGTAAAAGAGCTGTTTTTCACCAGCTTTTGATTACTGCCCACTCCCAGAGTATAACGAGCCCTTACTGAGATTGATTCCCGTCCTCGAGCAGGTAGGACAGTGAAATACGTCCCTTGGCCATGTGTCCTCACTTGGTCTGGGTAGGGGAGCAGGGCTCAGGTAACCCTGGCTGGCTGCCTCTCTTTGCCCTTCGATCCAGTCGCAGCTACTTCCGGAGCCTCGGGGTCCATTTTGAAGCTGGGCAGTGGGAAGCTGCAGCTAGCGCTGCTCTACCAGTGCCCTCCTGAGCCCAGGACTCTTCAGCTGAATGCTCTTGTCCTGTGCTGAAGATAAGGGTGCCTGGGGAAGCAGGTGCAGTTGGCCTGCTGCTTGGCTCGGCTGCTTGCTTGTTCGCTGCGGGTCAGATAAAATCGCCTGTTCATCCCCGAGGTGTTGGAAAGTGCTGGGAGAAGGTTCTGTGCTGCTCTATGCCCCTGTGGAAAGCCTGAGTAGGGAGATGAGCTGAGCAGGTGTGACGGTGAGCACAGGCCATACCTCCTCTGCCGTGCACTAGCGCCAATGCTTGTGCTGCTGCCGGGGAGTGAGGGAGCTGGGGAGAAGTTGAGCTGCAGAGGAAAGGTTCTCCAGCCAGCTGAGCTTCCCAGAGATATCAGGAATCATTTTGAGCTCAGGCTCTACTCGAGTGGTGGACACTGATACAGACGGGTTTGTCCCTTTCCAGGTGGCACTGCTGGACTTCGGAGCGACGCGAGGGTTTGACGAGAAGTTCACGGATGTCTACATCGAGGTGAGGATTAGCTCTGCGTCCTGGAGCGCTGCACTGGGTGTTGGCAAAATTCTGCTTCTCTCTTAGCTGTATCACTTTGGGTGTGGAGGGAAGCAGGGATGAGGCAAGAGAGATCCCTGTTCCTGTTTGATCCCTTTCCATAGCCTTCTGAATGGCTGCAGCAAGCCTCTGGCCATCTGAGCTGGGATGTTTAAATTGCATGACAAATGCAGAGAGCTGTAATGTTGCTTGCTGGGAGACTCAGGCAGTGGAGCACTCAGAACTCTGTGGTTTTTGTACGAGGGTCTGTGGGAATTGCTTGTCCTGTTTGCTGTCTCTTGCTGTGATTTCTAGCCCACCTACAGACTGATTGATGTGAAGTCTTAGGTGCTTCCTTTGTTCCTCACTCAATAAATCGAGCTGCAGGGGCCAGCAGGCATCACCCAGAGCTTCTCACCGCTGGCTCTATTACTTTGCTGGGGGAGGGGCTGAGTGATTTGTGAAGCTTTTTGGATGCTGTGTTCCCTGGGCTGTGTGTAGCCCTATGGGATGAGCTTTGGAGAGCCAGCAGCTCTTACCCTGGCCACCATGCAGGCCCTGAAGACGAGGGCAGAGGTGAGGAAGCGAGTGGACAGCATGTGTACCTGTAGCTCAAAACGTCTTCAGCCATCCCCTCGCTCTCCTGAAAGTGTTCCTCCCATTCAGGTGATCAAGGCAGCCGCTGACATGGACAGAGAGAGAGTCCTGAAGAAGTCCATAGAAATGAAGTTCCTCACTGGTTACGAAGTCAAGGTATGGAGCAGAGGGGCTGCTTCTAGCAGGGGCCACCAGTACGGTGGGTCTGTGGCCTTCTCCCAGGATTCTTGATGTGGTATATAATCCAACGCTGGTATGAAAGCCCTGTCAGTAAGGATGAGGGAGAGCCGGGAGGGGGGAGGGAAAGGTTTTGGCTCTTGTTCTCCCGCTTCCTTTTGGCAGAGGGAGCAGTGACGATGGTACAGCTAGCCCCCAAAACACTGTCCCTCCTTCCATTCCCCAGCACAACCCCGCAGGTGCTGGTGACTGCTGAAATTCTGTGGCTGGGCACGTGGCCTTACGGAAGGTTGAGTTGCTTGGAATTGCATTAACCGAATGCTCATCGGTCTGTTGGGGGCTGGAGGTTTCCTCCACGGCGGGTGTAGCTAGGTTCTCCCAAGGTGCTGCTGTCAAGCCTGACGCTTCTCCGTTCCCTCCCTGGAGGTTACAGTGGCTAGTGGTGGTATTGATGCCTCTCTCCTTTTGGGCAGGAAATGGAAGATGCCCACCTAAACGCTGTCCTCATCCTGGGAGAGGCTTTTGCGTCTGAGGAACCTTTTGATTTCGGCAATCAAAGCACCACTGAAAAGATCCACGGTTTAATCCCAGTCATGCTGAAGCATCGGCTTGTCCCTCCGCCAGAGGAGACCTACTCCCTTCATCGGAAGATGGGGGGTTCCTTCCTTATCTGCACCAAACTGAAGGCCAAAATTCCCTGCAAAAACATGTTCCAAGAGGCATATAGCAAATATTGGAGCAGCAGGGGCAAGAAGCCAGAGGAGTAATAAGAATGAACTAATGATACCGTGTTCGGAGGGCGCAGTTCCCCTGAGCCTTGCAGAGAGCGTTCCAGCCTCCCATGCGTTGCACCCCAGCTCTCCATCCTCTCGAGATGCAGCAGCCTGTGCCCTGGAAGCCGAGTGTGCGTTTCGCAAGGATCAAGCTGTTCTTGCCTGCTGTGTCTGTCCTACGCTGACTGCCAGTGCGGGAACCCGTCTTCAGTGCTTCTGTGCCGTCGCAAGGCGCCAGCCGACAACCTTGGATGCGTTTTTAACGTTGTGATGGTGGCTGCATAGTGATTGGGTTTTATAAACAAGCAGGGGAAGCAGGACGAGAGCAGAATTTAATACCGAAACCTGTTTGTATTTCTCCAAAAGTTGTTTTTTTAAAAAAAACCCTTCCCTCTTTCATGCTAAGGTGGAATTCGAGTAGTTTTCATACTGTGAACTATAGAAGGAAATACTGAGGTGTACCCTACCACAGATACGGTCAGCACCTTCCCCTCCTTTTTGTAAGTCAAGCGGTGGCAGTCTTGAGAACCCTCCTGGATTTTACTGATGTTCATATAAGGCAAGGGGCGTGTGTGTACACAGGATGAAGTTTTACGCTTTCTGCCTTTTTTTTGGCTTGCAAGCTAAACATAGGAAATATTTTAAAAATCTGAGAGTTGAGTGCCAGTCTCTTTTTTTTAAACACACACGTACACTCACACAACCCTTCCTCTCAGTTCTGGGAGTCAAATGTGTAATCAACAGAGCTATATCTGAGCACAAATAGTGGGATTCTTCACTGTCTGGTAGGTATCAGCTTTCCCGAGGGCGAGTTAGATAAGCTCCAGCTCCGACACCCATTGCTTGCAGGACTCCTGACGGAGAACCCAGTCGCTCTGTCTCCGTTTCCCTGTAACGCAGAACTTGGGGCGAGGCAGACAGGCGCGTAACGTCTCTCATGAGCATTTCGAGCTGCGGCTGAAATGTCACACAGTCGAAACCAGACGCACAGTTTTAAAGGATTGGAGTTGAGCTAGGAAACTTACTTTCTTAGATTTTGTACAAAGCCTGTACCTGTACGACTTCCTGATTTCAATAAAACAGTGCTTGTGCCGTGGGCCTTCTGCCTGCAGTTTTTTCATCTTCTGTTGCGGTAACGAGCAGCCAAGTGGACCATGTCCTGTGGGATAGACAGGAGTCGAAGCTTCCAACTCTCCTCTGGTTGCAGTTGTTTGCTCAGAGAATCGCTACTGCCCTTATAAAGCCGTCTCTCCACGGCCTGTTTATTCCTTCATCTTTCCACTGCAGCTGTGTCACTAGTGCTAGACCAGTTTCCCAGGAGCCAGAGGGACATCAGCCTGAACATCTGTCTGGCCATGAAAATCCCTGGTCATCGACTCGTTTTCTCCTTCTCCCTTGATTTAATCGTTCTGGACACAGGTCTCTCTGCCTTCCCTCCACTGGTGAAGAGAGTGGCGGCTGGAGCTGATGCTGACCTGGTGCAGGTAAGGGCGATGTCCGTGGCTGGCAAGGGCCAGGCTCTTAGCAGCAGGCTCAGCTGCTCCTGCTCGGTTAACGCAGCCCAGGAATGCAGAGGTGGTGTGATCTTTAATTTCAGTACTTAAGAAGTACCGACTGCTGGCACTTCCAGAAGTAGAGAACAGGTAAGTGAATAAATAGGAACTTTTTTCCTATTTATTGCTTTCTCAAAGGAAATATTTCCTTTGAGAAATAGGAAATTGTATTACCTTCAGAGATCATAAATTGCTTTGTTTAAGACTTGGTTGAGAAAGATCCAGTACTGCTTAATTAAACTAAAACTACTCCTCCTGTATTGCTGACCCTTTGAGAAGACTGAGCTCTGCTGTTCAGTGTCGTAACTGGTTTTGCATTAAGCTGTTTAACTTGGTACACTGTGACAAGAGAAACTTTCCCTCTTGTTTGAGGCTCTGGCAGGCACTGTTGAATTGTTCTCCTTCATACCCAGACCTTGCAGCTGTAAAAACGGGGGAGCTGTTTGAGATGTTACGATGCTTATGTTAAAGGTTAAAAAGCAAAAAGTATAAAAAAACTGACAAGGGAATTGGCTTAGGTGAGCTTCCGAGCAAAACTTCTGAAACTGAAGAGTGGGAGCCAGTGTGTTGGGAGAACTCGGAGCCTGACAGCTGACTTTGCTGACAAGCAGAGCTGGAAGAGGCCGGTGTGTACCTCTGTGTGACCACTGACCTCCTGCAGACCACGCCGGGGCAGGAGTGTTTAACTCGGCAAACACCTCCCCTCCCATGCGAGGTGGCAGGTTTAACGATGGGGTGGGTTTGTGACCTAAGGGGTTACTACCCCTTGCCTAAGGGGTAGTAACTAGCGGAAGGTAAGCTCTTTCTTCCTTAGGAGAGCTAACTGGAGCTCAGTCCTGGCTTTCCTGGCCTTTTGTGCATGTTGTACGAGTTAATAACTTCTACAGTTCTGTCTGGGGAGGTTTGTGACACGAGGAACCGCAGGTCAGTGTAACAGCCGTGGAGAAAGAGAGCCAGAAACACTGCGCTCTGGCTTCCGCTCAAAGCAGCCCCTCGTTTTGCCACCCGCGAGAACGCTGGATTGCTGCTGCTTGCTCCGCACCAGCTCGTGCATCTGCCTGGGCTGCACACACACCTCTGCCGCAGCAAGCTTCTACGTTCCGGAAGAATCCTCTTGCAGAAGACACTGTTTCACAGGGCAAGCTGAAGGTTGAACCTGCTTCTCTGAAGGTGAGGACCTGCCATTCTACAGAATCAAGGTCCGGCCCTACGGTAGCAGTGATGTTCCTACCTTTCTGTAGCCAACCTGGCATCCAAATGGAAACAGAAAGCGGAGGAGCCGGACAGCCTAACGTGCAGTTCCCTGGCTGCTTTCCTAATGTCCAAATCCTCGAGAGGACAAGGCTTGTTTCCCAAGACCTTCACAGCTGGGGTGGTGCAACTGGACCTCAGGGAAACCAAAAGTGCGGCGCTGCCTGTAGAAGTCGGAGCACAGGAAACATACAGCAGCGCTAAGAGAGACCTGCTGTGGCCAAGGTGGGATGAGCCCAGGGGCTTAAATTCTCAGCCCCCCCGCTCTAGTTCTGTGGAAGTCATAATTCTGACTGAAGGGGAGGAATGGGATCGGAGGTTTGCAGGGAGAAGGTAGCCTGTGGAAAACAGGCTGTTTCCGGGAGGGACTGCTGTGGTCTTTGGCACTGGGAGAACGCCCAGGGGGGCACTGCTGGCAGCAGAGGATCAGTAACAGCTTCCCCCTGCACTTCTGCTGGGGGGTGTGACTGCAGCACGTAACCCAGCCAGGACAGGCAGGCTCCGGCCCAGAGAAGAGCCCAGGCTGACCTGAGAGGAAATAGTGGAAGATGGGAGAGAGGGTCAGGGCACATCCAAGACTTCACAGGTACTTTGAGGCGCACAGGAAGATCCATGAAAGGCTCTGGATGTTGGTAGCTCAGAAGTAAGAAAGAATCCTGGCTCTGACAGGACAGGGGAAACATCTGATGTGTAGCTAAATGAAGGAGGAACCTCAGAAACAATGGGTCCAAACGCTGACACAGAACAGCTGACTGAAGAGCAAGGTCAGGACAACTGTCGTTCAACGCATCAAAGAGCAAGGAGGCTTGACTTGGAATTTCCAAAAAGGTTCTGGTAATATTTTCCTGAAAGGTGTTAGAGCTAAATAGATTTTTCTCCTCCCTTCCCACCGTGTGCTTGTGCAGATGGGTTACAGCACGCTGGTTTTATCTTCTGTGAGAACAGTTATTCCCCTTTCCATTTCCTCCTCAAAGCTTAACGTGAGAAGGTAGGAAAAAAAGACAAAGCATCTGCATTTCTAACAGTTCCCTGTTTTATTGCAGTACATCAAAGTAGGTTAATATTAAGTGTGTTACCAACATAAAATATTGGTGGTAAGTCGTTTTTACATTGTTGACTTCTCCACCTTAAATATTTCTGTGCAAAAGAATCTACATCATTGTTCTGTAGCAGAGAATCTCTTACAATGTCCCCTACGCCATCGAGGGCATTAAACCAAAGAGTGAAGAGGCAAAAAGCGGAATCTTTCCCCCACACGCACACTTGTCAGCTTTTATACTCTAAAACAAAAAAAAAGTGATTACATCTAGGCCATGCAAAACTGTACAATAATATTACAATGAAAAACCTAAAAAACATTTAAAAAATAAATGATATGAAACTGTCATACATAAAAAGGCAGGTATAATTGCTCTGAAATACCGACACTGGTTGGTTTGTGGATTTCTTCCCTGTGGGTGAGACTTTTCCTAACTGCAGAATGGAGAGAGGTTGTACTGAGCTGCAGCTGGAGCGAAGGACAAGGTAGAGCTAAACTGGGATTGGGAAGCCTGCAGTTGGGCGGTGTCTAGGGCGGGCTGTCAGAGCGTGAACACCAGGGTCCAGCTGTCCCGTTTCTTCCACGGAGCTGATTCCTATTAACGGCACAACCCACAGCAGAAGCTGCTGTGTGCCACTTTGCTTCTCAGACCAAGGCTCAGGAGGTGTGGGTACTTGCACTGTAATAAGTGATAACCTTTATCTATTGATTTAAAATGAAACTCTGCATAAATTAGGAAATTAAATTTAAAAAACCCCAGACTAGTTTGACCCCAGAGCATGTTTGTCCTTTTATCCAGGATCCAGCCATGGTGCCAGAATCTCTTTCTGTGCTAAAACTCCAGCTGTTTTGCTGCAAAAGGCTGACACGCTCTGTGAGCCAGTTCAACAAGGCTGCTATAAACACACCATGCCTTACGGAGCTTTATGGTATGACAAGACCCTGAACGTCCCTCTGCCCTGTACCTGAGAAGATCACACCTGGCCTGTAATTTTATCCGCATCAAATCCAAGAGAGAACATTCTCAGTTTTGAAACTCATGGAAAATGGGCAAAATGCACATTCATAACAAGCCACGGCAGCTAACCGAGAGGAAAAGCCCACTGCACTGCAGCCCGAGGAATGTCTGTGTTTCTTAAACCAGCAGCTGTCTTGCGCGGGTCGAAGGCAGGAGAGGGTACTGTAGCCCTGCATTTGGGTTTCTGAGATGTGGAAGGAAGCCACGTATCTGCGTGCGTACACGTGCAGGGGAACACTGTTTGCTAAACCTTTTTCGTTCTATAACCCAGAATCCGGAGTAGCTGCCTGAATCTGTTCAGATCCTTTGTTGCCATCAAAAGAGGGGAAAAAACCCAACCCAATAATGCAAAAACCAACCACCCAAATGTTTAAGCAGTGTCAAAAACCACTTTAAGTCTCAGCCAAAAGGAAAAAATCAGCTAGGTCCGTACAGCGACCGTACGCTACAGCCGCAAAGCCAGCGGGAGATGGCAGGCTCCCGGAACACGATGCGGCCCTCCA